CTCTTCCAGCATCACCCTGTCCCCCCTCCCACTGACACCTCCCCTCCTGCCCTTTTCCTCATTGTCTCCACTTGGCCCCCTGGCATTTGTCTCTCCTCCCCTTTCTTCTCCTGACCTGCCCCCCTCCCCTCAGCACAAGCCCCTTCCTCTGCCATCCACCTTATGCCTTGCAGTGTGCAGGACGGCCGTGACCCCAGCCCAGGCTCCAGGCCACGTGCCGAACTGAGCGGTGCAATGCTGGGCCACGTGGTTTTGAAGTCCCAGGCCGTGATGTCACACCACACCACGCCACGCCCGGGCATCTCTCCTCTCAGCTGTTGCGCGGCGTTTCAGCACGACGCGCATGCGCTCTCTCAGCCCCACGTGGCCCATACTGGCCGGCGCTGGGGAATTTCAAAAGTGCGGGGCTGCAGCACCCTGCCACAATCCCCCGCCTCGCCTCCTCCAGCAGCCGCCAGCTGGCCCTTCAGCAGATGGCCCACCAGGAAATTCCCGGTATCCTGCCGGGCCAGTCCGCACCTGGTGCTGGCGCGGGGCTTATTGAAGCGCGGGGCCTGGGACAGCCGCCCCGCTCGCCCTGCCCTATATCCTCCGCTGCTTGTGGCACTTTATGCCTGGTCTGCACTAAAGGGGAGAGTCGACTTAAGATACGCAAATCAAGCTATATTAACTACATAGCTGGAGTCAAAGAATCCTAAATTGCATTCTGGCACCAGCCACACAGCAGAGGGCACTCTCCTGTTGACTTCCCTTATGCCTTGTGAGGAGCAGGACTGCCTGCTGGCGCCAGCAGGAGCAAGCTCTCAGTTCGAATTTGCGGGTCTTCACTAGTTGCGTTGATCTCTGTAGTGTAGACAAGCCCTCAGAGACCAACCAAAATATATAGAATCATGAGCTTTCATGGGCAAAACCTACTTCATCAGATGAATTGGAGATTCATTTCGTATAATGAAGTGGGTGTTGCCCAGGAAAGCTCATGGCTCTGACAACATGCCCAGTGACTAATTCCAAATCTTGAGGAGCTTAGGGCTTTGTGCTCTCAAACCAGGACTAGAATTGTGTTTAAACACCTACATAGTGTTGACACTACTCTGCTGGCATATAGGGGGTTGTTTTGGTACATAATGAAAATTATACCCATTTAAGTACCTTCATAGCAATATAGCTGCACTCAGTAGGGGGTTATGCTGTTTTAACTGTATCACTATTTCCAAAGATATAGTTAAGGCAATACAAAAGTTGTGTGTGGAGCTGCCTTAAGGGTATGATCTTGTAAACACTACCAGGCATAGTGTTTACTACCCACAGTCTTTTTAGAAAAAATATTGGAAGAAGGCATATATGAAACGGAGAAATCAAAGCTAGTGTAAAACTTGGCTAGACAAGAGGCTTTGGTCTGGTTCTAAGATAAGTTAGTTTTTGCCAGTTAATTCTTTTTGGAATGCCATGTTAGGTAATTTCATACAGGATGGGTTCACCAGTGGCTATTAGCCAAGATGGTCAGGGATACAACCCCATGCTCTGGGTGTCCCTGAGTCTCCAATTACCGGAAGTTGAAAATGGATGACAGGGGATGGAACACTCTGCAGTTGCCTTGTTCTATTCATTCTCCTTTAAAGCACCTGTCATTGGCAATCCTTGGAAGACAGGCTTTTGGGCTAGATGACCATTCACCTGACCCAAGAGGGCTTTGTTCTTAGGTGTTGGCAAAGGGGAGTGTGTTGGGTCATAAAAAGGAATGGTGAGGGTTAGGAGCTTTCATGTGAAAGGGTAGTAGTTAAGAGAGCCTAAACACGGGGTGACCCAATCAGTACTAGGAAATTTTTAAAATTGTTTTTATTGGTGGGGGAGAAGTGAGATAGAAGGGAGAGAGGGCAAAGTTGCAAATCAGAACATATATACCACAGTTGTATTTAGATCTGTGCCTTTATAAGTGTTTGATGGACAATTAAAGATAATCAAGTATTTGATTGCTGTTTTTTCATTTATGAGCGAGTCTACAATTTTAGCAACTATAGTAGTGTAAATTGTTTATAGGCTAAGTTCAGATGATGAATTCATATTTGTGTCTTAAGTGCATTTGAGAGCAAGTGCTTCTAACCATGACAACTCTTCAGTATAACAAGTGGCTGGTCAAAAGAGGTCTATTCCTGATGTATATTCTGACAAGGTTTGGAGATTGGTGGTTGCTTTGTCAGAATGCAACTTTAGAAAGTGAAATAAATGCTCAAATAATTCCTCAGCCTTTCCCAAAGAAAAGTACTCAAGTTACGAACCAGTGTTTGTGAGTGAAATCCTGGTCCCATTTGAAGTCAATGGCAAAACTCCCATTGACATGATGGAACTATGACTTGAACCTTGATTTTTCATGTAAGCGAATGCCCTAAGTTTACAGGTTCGATAAATATTTCTGTTTATATGTTTTCAGACTTGCTGATTCTACATGTGTTCAGGATGAAGGTTTGTCAATACAAGATACGGAGCCAGTTCTTCTGGGCATTTTTAGTGATCACAGTTCATTTCATCAGTCCTGCTCAGGGTCAAGGTAACTGATATATAAGACAGCAGTGCTTTTTCATTAAATCACTCTGATGTGCAGAAGAGGGTTTCCCCTCTTAGGTATACAATAGTTTTCCTTTGCTATGGGGATAGTCCAAAACTATTGACATCAAGGGGAGATTTGCCATTAATTTCAAAGGGAGCATCATCAGGGTCTCGTTTTTCCTGACATGTTTTCACACATTATTTGAACTGTAGCATCTTAGGAGGAAGCTTGCTGTTATTCATCTTTAGAATTAAAATGTCTGAGAATGGGTTATAGGAAAAAACTCAGTTCTGTTGACTTAAATGTCATTATAAAATATTGCTGTTCCTACTTTTAAGTAAATGACTGTGGGAAGAATGATCGTTCTGCTGTAGGATACCGAACTTGCATGGAATACATATTGCTGCTTTGTCGGAACTGTAGCTAAAACCATTACTAAATTATATGAGGCCCTGCTGCTCTTGGTTGGCCATGTGTCATAATCATTCATGCACCCTTTTGTGTTTGCACTGTGTTTCTATGTCTTATATGCTATGCTCATGCAATCCCCTTCACTTCAGCTGCAATTGCACAGGCATAACAGAAGAATTTGGCTTTCTCTTTTCCACTGCAAGGAGTATTGGGTTGCATGTTTATACATGAACGTGGTCCGGGGATAGGCAGAAGGCATCTAGGTTTTCTATCTCCAGAGGATAGAAATTACTCTGGGGTCACTGAAAGAGCATGCTTAACAGGAGAATATATTGCTGCTGACATTGCTTTTCATCCTGCAAATGATCTTTGATGCTGACTGATGCTTGGGGACAGGAGCGGTGGAAGCGTCCAAAAAGGTGTGGGACCACAGGCACCCTAACTGTAGTCCCATCATCTGGCTGCCCCTTCTCCCCAAGCCTCTTTCCCCCCAAGTCCTCCCTTCACTTCTCTCCAACCCTTCCCCTCAGTTGCTTGCCCTTTCAGCCTTTTTAAAAATGGGAGATCCATGCCCCCCCACAGTCTCCCCTGTTCTGGTGCCCCTGCATGGGGGATCACACTCCCTTGGTGCTATGGAACATAATTAGTACACTAGGCCCACTTTCCAGGATGTGGGGAATGCTAGCTGTTTTACTTATTGTGGAAGAAGGGTGTTCCTTATGCTTTTCCCTCACCTCTGTGCTCCTACTCTGAACAGAAATTTAGCTTCCAAATGCTTGTGAATTAATGAATCAAAGTGAAGCATGTGATTATATATGTGTCTGCATATGTTACACTTGAGATATATGTGACATTCAGTTCAGCTCAGGACTCCCAGAACTATCAGCTACTGTGCTATCTAGCCTTCTGCCTCTGCAGGTTGAGAACTTGGCTACTGCTAAACTGCATGTCAGCTTCCTGTCACTCCAGGCTCTCTGCATTGCCAGCAAACTCCTCCAGACTTTGCCAGTCTAAACCTACCCTGCAGGCAATGACTAGTGAACCCCAGTTTTCCCCTAGAGCCCTCTTTCTGCAGTGTCAGTTCTAATCTCAGAGCAGTCTCAGAAATTATTAAATACATTGCCTTCCAAGTGACAATGCACATACCAGCAAGTTAGGTTAGTTGAAGACTCACACTTCAATAGAACAACACTAAGGCTACGTCTAGACTGGCCCCTTCTTCGGAAGAGGCATGCTAATTCCTAACTTTGGAATAGGGAAATCCGCGGGGGATTTAAATATCCCCCGCGGGATTTAAATAAACATGGCCGCCGCTTTTTTTCCAGCTTGGGAAGCCGGAAAAAAAGCATCTAGACTGGCGCGATCCTCCAGAATAAAGCCCTTTTCCGGAGGATCTCTTTCCGGAGGATCGCGCCAGTCTGGACGCTCTTTTCCGGCTTTTCCCCAAGCCGGAAAAAAAGCGGCGGCCATGTTTATTTAAATCCCGCGGGGGATATTTAAATCCCCCGCGGATTTCCCTATTCCAAAGTTAGAAATTAGCATGCCTCTTCTGAAGAAGGGGCCAGTCTAGATGTAGCCTATGATGGTTTATAGTAAAATTAAGAATAAGTTTATTAACAAAGAACAGAAATGTAAGCAATACTGAGCAAGAGAAAAAGAAAGATTTGAGTATAAAACATAGCATCTAGTGACTTAATTTTAGCTAGTTACTATCTGTGCCTAGGCAGTTTGCTCAAGTTAACCGTATCTCTAGCCCTCCTGTCCAGGAGATCCAACTTTCTCAGGATCACAACACAAGATGCATTTTCCCATCTATGGAAAATTTTCCCATCTTTAGCATTTGGAGGCTTTAATATTTGGAGGCTAAATTTCTGTTCAGAGTAGGTGCACAGAGGTGAGGGGAAAGCACAAGGAACACCCTTCCTCCACAATGAGTAAAACAGCTAGCATTCCCCACATCTGGGAAGTGGGGCTAGTGTGCTAATGATGTTCCAGAGCATATGGCAGAAAGGAATCTATGGGTTATAGTGGACCACAAGCTAAATATGAGTCAACGGTGTGATGCTGTTTAAAAAAAGCAAACATGATTCTGGGATGCAGTAACAAGTGTCTTGTTAGCAAGACATGAGAAGTCATTCTTCCGCTCTGCTCTGCACTGGTTAGACCTCAGTTGGAGTATTGTGTCCAGTTCTGGGCACCGCATTTCAAGAAAGATGTGGAGAAATTGGAGAGGGTCCAGAGAAGAACAACAAGAATGATTAAAGGTCTAGAGAACATGACCTATGAAGGAAGACTAAAAGAATTGGGTTTGTTTAGTTTAGAAAAGAGAAGATTGAGGGGGGACATGATAGCCGTTTTCAGGTATATAAAAGGGTGTTATAAGGAGGAGAGAGAAAACTTGTTCATCTTGGCCTCTGAGGATAGAACAAGAAGCAACGAGCTTAAACTGCAGCAAGGGAGGTTTAGGCTGGACGTTAGGAAAAAGTTTCTAACTGTCATGGTGGTTAAACACTGGAATAAATTGCCCAGGGAGGTTGTGGAATCTCCATCTATGGAGATATTTAAGAGTAGGTTAGATAAATGTATATCAGGGATGGTCTAGAAACATTACTTGGTCCTGCTATGAGGGTCCCTTCCAGTCCTAGTATTCTATGATTCTATGATCTCTCCTAAGCAGTGGATAACTAAAATGTCATTTTGTTCCCTTATGTTACTCACAGTTCATTGTCACTTCCCCTAGAGCCAGGAAGGAATCACTCCCTGCTTGTTAATTGAAGAGCTTTGTTTACCTTATGTGTAAATGTACTTTTATTCTCCTCTGCTCGCAGTCAAGTCAATCAGACAACTCAATACACATTTCTTTGTCCAGGACAGGCTGGGTTTATGTCTCCCAAACACATTTTAAAGATATATCTCCAGCACACATATGTAACTCTTTGTACACAGCCCATATGTCCATCATACAATGATTTTCAGGAGCCCTGTGTCGCCAGTTTTTATCAGATACCTTATTCGATTATACTTTTTGTAAAGTAATATTGTATACAATCAGTTGATTCAGTTGCTTATTCTTGAGGGTCCATATCCCTTCTCCCCATAGGGTGTCTGGCCCTGATTGTCACTACATATGGCTCAGATTTTCCAAACAGCTTTGTTGATGCAGATGTACCTCAAAGTAATCATACCAAGTATGTGTAAATCCCCAAAATTGCTTTGAAAAGCAAATACAGTAAAACTCCATTGGTCTGGCATCCAACGCTCCGGCACTCCTGATGGTCCAGCACCATCAGGAACCCAGAAGTGCTCCGGTTGCTGGACAATTGGAGCTCCTCTGTGCCCGGCTTCCCCGATTCAGCCGCTGCTGAAACTGACCAGCAGCTGAATTGGGGAAGCCGGGGGCGGGGCCGCTCCGCCCACCCCACCCTACCCCACCCCAGACTCCTCATAGCCCCCCCTTCCAATAGTCTGGCATATTTGATAATCCGGCACCCCCTGGGTCCTAAAGGTGCTGGATTATCGGAAGTTTACTGTACTTTAAAAAGCCATAATCATAAGAACATAAGAACGGCCATACTGGGTCAGACCAAAGGTCCATCTAGCCCAGTATCTTGTTTGCTGACAGTGTACCCCACCCCAGACTCCTCATAGCCCCCCCTTCCAATAGTCTGGCATATTTGATAATCCGGCACCCCCTGGGTCCTAAAGGTGCTGGATTATCGGAAGTTTACTGTACTTTAAAAAGCCATAATCATAAGAACATAAGAACGGCCATACTGGGTCAGACCAAAGGTCCATCTAGCCCAGTATCTTGTTTGCTGACAGTGGCCAATACCAAATGACCCAGAGGGAGGGAACACAACAGGTAATCATCACATGATCCCTCTCCTGGCATCCATTTCCAGACAAACAGGTGAGGGCTATAATTCCTACCCATTTTAGCTATTGATGGACCTAACCTCCATGAATCTATCTAGCTCTTTTTTTAGCCCTGTTAAAGTCTGATACGTCTACACTGCAAGCTTCTTTCAGAATAAGCTATTCTGGAAGATATCTTCTAGAAAAACTTATTTCGAAATAGAGCATCCACGCTACAGGGAAGCCTCAAATTTAGTCTGAGGCAGGCTCCCCTAATGTGAACATGATACCTCAATTTAGAGCCCAGGAGGCACTGGGGAGGAATAACTTTAGAATGGTCCTGGTGAGGAGCTATTTCAACATAAAAGCAGTGGAGCATCCACACACACCCTCTTCTGAAAAAGTTCAGAAGAGGCCTTATTTCTCATGGAATGAGGTTTAGCAGCATTGGAAAAAGCTGTCTGTTATTTCAATTTTCTTTTGAAATGACACAACTATAGTGTGGATGCTATTATTGTTTTCCGGAATAACAGCCGTTATTCTGGAAAAATGGTGCCGTGTAGATGCACCCCTAGTCTTCACAGCATCCTCTGGCAAGGAGTTCCACAGGTTGACTGTGTGCTGAGTGAAGAAAAATGTCTTTGTGTTTGTTTTAAACCTGCTGCCTATTATTTTTATTTGATGACCCCTTAGTTCTTATATTGTGGGAATAAGTAAATAACTTTTCCTTATTC